ATTTGTCGCACAATCTTTTGAAAGGTTTTCGTTCATGCGCCCGAAACTTTTGTTTGGAGCTGTACCAAGAATGGATGCGTGATGAATTTGCCATCTGATGTGAACTAGATAAGCTATAGATCAATCGTGGGGGATGAAAGGCACTATTTATTTGGAGACTTTCCAGAAATTTCTGAATTGTTTCCTGTATTATAATTTATGATGATGCTATTCTTTTATTTCATGAAAAATCACACCATTTCTCTTTCTTCTTGCTTTTCCATTGTCAACTTTAAATCGTTTACATCATTCTATTTCAGTGTTTTTTGTCCTAACGTAATACTGACAGTTTTCCGTGCAATCACCCCCACTTTGTAATGGTAGATCCCTGTGTCTTGGTTTCTGTCATGTAGGCTTACAAGAGTCAATAAACTCCCCTCTAATTACGGTGAAATAGTTCAGTCCCGCTGTCACCACCCAAGAATAATCCCACCCCCCTTCGCTTGCTCTCAAGGTATGTCACCTTGAACGTGTCACTCAAGTGTCAGGGGTTCTATTTAGAGAAGCAATTTTCTTTAAGAAGGCTGATACGTCCTTGGCAAGTCCGTGGCTTTTGCCGCTAGCTTCTGTTGCAGAGCCATTCTTGTTTAATGGTGCGAGTTGTCGTTTGTTTTCCTCCGTGTCTGTCACCGCCGACCCCTTGCCTTTCTGACTGCCATCACCTGTCTATATTAGGAGAAAACAAAAAGGCCTGCGTCTCAGGCAACACCAAGTCATTTCCTTTGTTCTAGGCCATTTCTAAATTAGATTATCAAGCAGGTTAAGACTTGAATTAGAAATCAAAATAAAACCAGGTGCCTGAGATGAAAACTTGATTATATCTGTGTCCAGAAATTTAGAGCATGATAGTATGTCCTAGGAAACTACTAAAAAGAAGCAATTGAGTAGGTGGCCCTCTAATTGTAGCTAGTGGTGCAGCAGCTTTAAATTTTGTTTTTCATTTCTTTTGGAGATCCCTTGTAATAGTTGTATTCCTCTTACTGTTCAGCATTTCTAAGAACCTATAAAATGAACTAGTAAAGCCCTGCCTACTGTACCCCAGAGATAGCCCACAGGGAAATGTGGTGATGCATGAAGTGTAGAACAGATAAGCACCACAGTGTACCTTCCACGGAAGAGCAAATAGATGTTAGATACACAGTGGCACACTGCAAACACTGTAAGACTGGGTGTCGTCCTTGCATTTCCTTTTTTTTTTACAGAAGAACAGTGCAGTAATTGTACTGAGAATCTAATTCTAAAGCTGATTGAAAGAGTGCAGTATCCAATCCATAGTCAGAATATTCACTCAAAGTTTCAAATTGAAACACAGTCCTTCACTCCGCGTGAAGAAAAAGTGGATGCATATCATCAAACTGTTTTTCATTTTCACCCCCTATAACAATATTGGAATAACCCTTGCTCATTCAATATTCATGAGGTGATGTCACTCGCTGCTAAGCATGATGGGAAGAGGACGCTCGCATTAAATACATTCATTAAGCTTGTCTCTTTCATCCTCACTGCCTATCTCTCATCATCCTTTAATGAAACAATAAAGAAGGAATGACAAAAACACTAGAAAGGTGTGGGCTGATTTCTTAGAATCACGATAAGCGATGGAAGACATCCATCATTAAAGAACGCAAGCGTGAGTCACGCAGATTTGATCAGCCACACACGCGCTCCAATCCGCGGTGTACCTGGCTTAATTAATTTCCAGGCGAGGTGGCCGTCCCCAATTTCATCTAACGGCCTCACAAGCCTTCATGAACCGAATTGGAATAGAATCAGCCAATTGGTGCCCATCCCTTTTCCCTCCGGTGCCATAGAAAGCCGCTCGAATCTTACCCTGGCTAAGGAACACAATCAGGAGTCCTAACTGCCGTCGGATGGACGCTGTTTGAAGTTTGTGGGGTCGAGAAATGGACGGATACGAGCGCGTGATTCTGCCCACCACCCTCCTACAGCTGGTGATTTTGTCGCAGGACCAAGTGCCCAGAGGTGACGATGGATGGATGCGTTTGATTGGGGGTTTGTCTGCGGCTGATTGCGGCGACCATATTTATGTCCTTGGGTGACCTTCACATCCCTCTCCCTACTGTCTGGAGGGCCCTGGCTGTGATATTTTGGCAGGATTTGATGCGGAAATCTTGTTTCATCAAATATAGTTCCAGACATTTCAGACAGTATAATTCTTGGAAGATGTGATGGCATTGGTGCCAGAAAGATTGTCTTTAGTATAAAATTTTCTTTTTAAATGGTACCCTGGTATTGCAGCAAGTTATAGATTTCTCATTATATTCCTTTATTTTGCACTCCTATATACCTATATAGAATAACATGATGTCATAACAAAAACTGCATTTTTTTCACCAATTTAATCTCTGACAATCATCCAAGTGGCCAAAATAAATCGTGGGGAATGTATTATAGCACATTCATAAGATTACAAATAACTATTGTTATTTTTCCCACCAGAACCTTTGACATGCATCCAAACTCTCTTAGATGTCATTGGCAATGTATGATAACATAATGTCACTACATTGCCAATTTTAGACGTATAAATCATGTTTGTTTGTCTGTTTCCCCTTCCACCAGATCCCCCGACAATCATCCGAGCGCCAGTCGACGTGACCGGTATCCACGGGTCCACCATCAGCCTGGTGTGCGAGGCCGGCGGAGACCCGGTGCCGACCCTCACCTGGACCAAAGCCGGCGGCAGGAAGATCAACACCAGCAGCGGGACACGGTTTGACGTGGTTCTCTTTAACGGCGGGAGGGGGTCGGTGCTCAGGATAGACCCCCTGCGAAGCCCGAGGGATGACACGACGTTCGAGTGTAACGCTGACAACGGCGTTGGCCAGGCGGCTTCGGCGAGCGCCCTGCTACGTGTACTTAAAGGTAAGGCTTATAAGATTATTGTGTTTAGGCCACACCATGTTATTTCCTTCATACTCAAGACATTTCAGGTGAAAATCTAGAAAGGAAAACTTTGCTGATTTGCTATTAGAATTGTTGGGCAAGAGGCTTCGGCGAGCGCACTGCTACGTGTACTTAAAGGTAAGGCTCGAGACTATTGTGTTTAGCCCACATCATCTTACTTCCTTCATTTTCGGACGTTTCAGGTGAAAATATAGCAATGAAAACTTTCCTGATTTGCTATAAGAATCACTGAAAAAAATTACAATTTTTTTGTGAGTTTAGAAATTAGAAATATACAAAATTGGATATGACCAAATCCCATGAAATGTGTCTAAAACTTTTCTGTCCTGCAAAATAAAGTTTATGCCAAGCCGTGACATGGTAAAAGCTGTAGGGACAGCTTTTAGGCAGTTGTAACTCCTACGTCTGTGATACCATTTTACAGTCAAAGTGCCAGAAGTGCATGGAAAAACAGCTAAGGAATCCATTACCAGTATGCAAGCCTTACCCAGAGGCACAATGGTACTGGATGAAGAAAAAGCACTTACTTAAAGGCAGTTCTAACTTTTACCTCTGGCACATGATCTTGAAAAAATGTGCCAAATCCTCCATTCTGTAAGTCTGACCCATAGGCACAATGGTAATGGATGAAGAAGAGAGCATTTACTTTTGGTGGTTCTAACTTCTACCTCTGGCACAGCTTGAGAAAATGCGCCAAATCCCCCATTACGTAAAATTGACCCATAGGGCACAATGGTAATGGATGAAGAAAAAAACCATTTGCTTTTGGCAGTCCTAACTTGTGACTCTGGTGCATCTTTTCTGTAAGCAGTCAAACAGACAGAAACAAGCTAAATCCTCCATTACGTAAAACTGACCTGTAGGCGCAATGATAATGGATGAAGAAGAAAGCATTTTCTTTGAGCAGTCCTAACTCCTACCTCTGGCACACCCTTTTCTGGAATCAGTCTTATAGATAGAAACAAGCCAAATTCTCCATTATGTAAGTCTGACCCACGGGCACAATGGTAATGGATGAAGAAAAAAGCTTGTACTTTTGGTAGTCCCAACTTTACCTCTGGCACACCTTTTCTGTAATCAGTCATACAGATACATTGATGTAGAAATGAAGGAAAGCCCCTGTTATGTAAGTATGATGACCTAGAGGTACCCTGGGATGAAGAAAGAAGCACTTAGGTTCAAGAAAAAAAGCATTTCGGCAGTCTATAAACTTCTACCTCTGGGAAACCTTTTCTGTAATCAGTCATACAGATAGCAATGTAGGAAAGCCCCTATTATGTAAGTCTGATGACCTAAAGGTATCATGGTTTTAAAAAAAGTACTTTAAAGTAGAAGAAGAAAGCATTTCGGCAGCTCTATGTCTGGTACACCTTTTTTGCTATCAGTCATACAGACAGAAATGAGCCAAATGCTCCATTACGTAAGTCTGACCTAAGGCTATGTTTGGACATGAGACATTACCAAACATAGTCTTCAGTGCGTTCAGCCCTGGGCTTTTTTTTTTTCGCTGGCTGAAAATGGCGTACATGCGTCACAGCCTGCATCACAGGTGGGAGATGGCGTTTTATGGACCTGTGTATTTGGGTCAGACCATCCCTCATGATGTTGGGTAGAATTTCAGGTCATCGGAAACGTGCCATATATCACTTTTGGAAAATGGCAACTTTGACTGCACAGCTTGGTATATGCCAAACCCAGAAGGTTATGAATATGAACGTAAATCAATCCGTTAAAACCAGAAATCTTAATTGAAGCTGAAATTTGATATAAAACAAGTTGTGATACTAGTACTGTATTTTTAGAACTCCCAGCAATACATAAAAGTTTCTAACATTTGAGAAGATTTTTGAAGGGTGTTCATAGAATTGAGATTATATCGTACAAAATGTTCATTGATTGAGAGTTGGTTCATTTTCAAGTGTAAATGTATTTCGATAAGCTTATTTTGAATTTTATTCCGTAGTGCTGGTTAAAAGAATTTGTTTCATTGGGTTTTTTGGTGAAAGGAATTTGTTTTGACCCTGTGTTTAAAATATTAATAAATCTGAAAACCACAGAATTGGCCCACCCCAGAACAACAGCTATCGGAAAAAAAATATCCCCCGAGCTTCACCCAGACTCCAGCAATATTGAACTTGAAATTGTCCTGATGAAACGCTGATGAAAATGAATTTCAGTAATGATGGTCGGAGCGGTCAGCGTAATGAAAACGGATGCTCACCGGCTTCACCTGGTCGATACAGACAGACACTAATGGCAGTGGGGAGAGCATTATGCATGGGGCTGTCAATAATCGTTTGGGAAACGAGCCCATAACTTCTGCTTTTTCTCATTTTCTGTGCTTAGTTCTTCTTGTGGTGCTATTATTTAATGTGCCTCTTTTTACACAGAAAACATGTCCTTTTTAGAATAATGATGCCCATATTGACATGGATTTTCTTGTCAAATGCTGTAAATAATCGTATGGGAAACGAGCCCATAACTTCTGCTTTTTCTCGTTTTCCGTATTTAGTTATTTTATAAATGTGCTTGTTTTTACATAGAAAACATGTCACTGCTAGAGGAATGATGCTTATGTTTACAAGGATTTTCGTGTCAAATGCTATAAATTCTTTATTTCAAATCTGCAAACCTAACTCAGATTTTCAATCATTCATTCTTTGGGTATTGATTGTAGAGCAATAAGAAAAATGGCTCATATGAATTTTATTGAGGTGGTATATCAAAGAAAAATGTACATCAGACATTTAAGCATACAATTTCGAAATATACATTTTAAACATACAGGTAACTAATATGAGAAATCTTAGTTTCTCTGTGTATCCTTATTTAACCTTCCGCAGGTCTTCAATATATCATTTCTAAGGGAATTTGACAGTATTCCTTGCTGCTCCCAGATGTTGCGTTGTGCGACCAGCTGATAAATGTTCACTCCCACACAGTGAAGAATCGCCTGGAGTGAGGACTGTCACACAAGGTGGCACGGCCTAACCAGATTCCCAATTCTCTCGCTTCGGAAATTGGTACAGATTGGCTGGCAGGGTTTTTCAAAAATTCAGCATGAGGGAGCAGATCACAAGCATGGCAAGGAACGAAGTGACCGAGGGGGCATTTTTTTAGTAACACAGTTTGTAGTGCTAGAAGGCATTGTTGTATTGTTTTTACATCTTGACTGAAAAAAAGATCATTTTGAGAAAGACTAGATGATGTGTATGTAGCCACTTAGGGTTCTATCTGAAAATTGGTATGAGGGAGCTGGCTGGTTACATGAGGGAGCAGTGCCCTTATTCCCCTGTTTAGAAAAAAAACCCTGGCAGAGAAAGCCTCATTGTCAAGGTGTCGAGGTTCAGCGTCTTTAAGTAAGCTAAGGAGGCAGAGGAGAAGACAGAAGATTCGGAGATGATGAGAAGTAATTGTAAAATTCGTAGACACCTCGAGTCTTGGGAGAGCGATGGCTGGAAGAAAAAAGCCTCATTGCCAAGGTGTCGAGGTTCAGAGTCTTAAGTAAGCTAAGGAGGCGGAGGAGAAGACAGAAGATTCGAAGATGATGAGAAGTAATTGTAAAATTCGGAGACACCTTGGGTCTTGGGAAAACGACTCAAAACCAAACAGCCGCGAATCGGATTTGATGAATTAGATCGGTGGGGTTGCGGGATGGAATCATCGTGACCGGAATTCGGAATGAGCTTCCATGTGACTGGGAATCTTCCATCTTGTATTCCGGGGGGAGGGAAAAGTTGTGGGAATGACTGTCGAGGATTAGTCATCTGCGTAGAAATACGTCAATGCATCATAAGGTGCTTTTAGCTGTCATATTTCTCATGACTGCGCAATAGGAAATGTCTTCAGTGATGTATCGAGCTCTTATAGATTGTGAGGTAATTTGAATCAACTGCAAAATGTATAACATAACCTCCAAAAGAAGATATTAGTTTCAACTTTTATCTATAACATGACGAATTTGTGCATAGATATGATGAAACTTACCGTAATTTTTCCTGCCAATTTGCGGAATTTTAACGAACACAAATTATGATTTCTCAGGTGGTTTGACGTCATTACTTCTGTTACTCATTCAAGATGTCTAACACTATTGAAAGTTGAAAATGTGTATAACTTTTCGGCAAACGTTTTTATTGAATTTGAAAGAAATGGTTTTCATTTCAAAACACAAGTCACAGTTGTGGCAGCTTGTCTTCCATTCCCTTGGGCCATGCCCATTTCCCAGGATGCATTAGGGAGTGGAAGAAACCATTCATCAGCATGACGGGTAGGGAAATTGTTACGGCGGGATAAAGGAAGTGATTGGTATGCGAGGCGATGCTCTTACCTGATAATATCGCCGGCACGTGCCCCGCTGAAAATTTTAAAGCAGCATCCTCATTTACGAGAGAGAGAAGCAGCAAAAGATTAGGGTCAAAATAAAGTACGGAAAAAGGGAGTGCTGTATAGAATTGATGTACATCAAGTAAGAGAACGGGAAGAAGATTTGGTTTGCTGATCAGGGCCTTTCCCAAGCAATAAAGCAAGGGTGCTCCCTCCCTCCCCAAAATCCTAGCACCACTCCCAAAATGTTCAAAGTTAGGGTTTTCTCTCAGCATTTTCAGGAAAATTCACTGATTTTGTCATCAACCGATTAGGGAGTACCTCTCCCATAAGAATTTCTGGGGAGACCCCTGCTGATGAAGTTTGAAATATGTTAAAGAACCGTTGTTTTCTGCCAAGCTTTGATGTTTAAAATGAAACTCTGGAAAGATTTACTGTGATATTTAACCAGCTACAGTGTGGTTTCTATTCAGCTGATGCAAAAAGGATGCACTTTGAAACTTTTTTTTGAAAGTGAAATCTTTCTTGACCTTTCGTATAGCAATAAATCAAACCTGCCCGAAGAGGCGCACCGTAAATGAAGCGATGGTTTATCAAAGGCCGGCCTGTCCCAGTTCTTTCAGTTTTCATGA